ATTATTTTAAATTATAGATTGTTCTTTATTTCACAGAAATATCTTAAAATAGTTTCCTACATTACTTGCCAGCAGCAGCTGCACAAATTAGTTGAATTTTTCAGCTAGGTATCTTGTGAACTAAACAGGTAAGAGGATGACCAGTATGGTAGTGCAGTGCTTCAGATTCAACTCCAAACAGGCATTATGGGTTGTGTAGGGATTCAAATGTAGCATCCCTCTGCAACTTTTAAAGCAGGGGGTCAGCCATATGAACCTGGGAAAGATGTAGCTACTTTAAAGAGTTGTGAATGGTGTTATGTTCCTGCACACTCCAAAGCATCTTTTCCAAATGATTTCTGAAGTGCTGCACAGCTCTAATGACTAGGCGTGAACTCAGGTTTTTTTAATGAGCAAACTTACAACTTCCTTCCTACAATAATGCAGTTATCCTCCCCATGAAGCTTCAGGCCAAAATTGTGGTTGGGCCAAGACAGCAGCTACCAAAGCCAGCTTTTTGTTTAGTGTACAGCAGAGAGTTTAAATCATAACAGCAGCAGTAACAACTGCATAATTGATGAAAAATATCCTGTAAATCATGTCAAGAAACTGGTATGGATTGGTTAAGTGGCAAAACTCACATTGCAGTTCATGGGAAAAGTACTGGGACATTTTGCCACAAGACTAACCCTGCTGTGAGATGCAGTTAGATATACTGAGCTTCATGGCCAAATAAAGTAAACACACACAGAAGTAAACATATTTAGCAAGGTCTGTCACTGACCTTGCTTCATTAACATTTTATCCTGTCATAATCACAGCCACCCAAGGACTTTAGGTCTGACACCTAATTCAATCTCTACATATTTTAGGAATGTTGCTTTGAATTCATCAGATAGAGAAGTATTATTAAACCATTGGAAATTTGGAAATTACCAGGCCACCAAATGTGAATTGGTGTAGCCTATTGTTTAGTGTCAGAGTTAAACTAGAGAATCCTAGGTCTAAGTCCTTCTTTCAGTCTTGCTTACCTCGGAACAGTTATGGAAGAGCCATGTCTATCAATTCTGCTCCTCAGAGAAAGTGGGATGAAAAGATAATAAAATTTAAGCTTGTTGGATCTGTAGGGCCCAAGCAAATATGAAAAAAGTAGGAACAATTTGTTTGAGGCTTCAGTCTGAACTGCAAGACTGTTGGCCTATGGGGAAAAATAAGCCTAAATCATAATCATATTTGAGGATATTTAGGACAAATATATTTTCCTTTGATATTTATCTGTGTAAATATATTATTATAAACATTCATTTTAAGAGGAATACACAGTTTAAGATCAAGGTAACTATTTACATAGAACCTGATTGTACCCAAGGCCATCCACACCTGGGAGAACCTGTTTTAGTATGTTTGCTTTGTAAATTTTCAAAGTGGGATGGAGGCGAGATGTCCACTATTTGTCCCTCACCAAGGCAGTGGAGATAGTGGTTATGCCTGGTGAAAGCTGGGAGCTGGCCACCATAAAAGAAAAATACATTTCTTCAGCAGAGTAGTGCTCACCAAGGCCAGATCAAAGGCAGTGGAAGAATTCAAGAGACTGCATTGAAAAGGGAGAATGTGAGCAATAGAAGGTTCCAAGCAAGGCACTGCATGAGTGCAGAGGTCCTCTCTGTGAATCAGAAAGACAGTCAAGAACTGAGGAAAGGAAAATGGAATCTCCAGCTCCTTTCTTGCAAACCCTGAAGTTTGCTCAGCTAAAACTGGGTAGCCAGCTGCTGAATTACAATGTGAGGATTTTCTGGTCTTTGAAAAATGAAAACAAAAGTGAAATAAATATATGAGGCTTCTGATAAGTTTAACTTGCTTTTTAAAAAAACGAGCAAACCCATCCATTGTCCAACAGGAAGGAGAACTCTGTACCCATCCCCTCCAATAGCATCACCTTATCGCTACCTCTTTCCCTGTGGCATTCAGCAGCAGATTTTGTGGTTGCTACTGTGTACAAAGGCAACCCCCATCTACAAAATAATTGCACAACCCTGTTCTAGAAGGTTAAAGACTTTAATGTGGGGGGGAGGGTCTGGAATCTCCATTTGGAACTGCACAAAGACCACAAGAGGAGAAAAGGGAGAGTAGATTGATGTTGTCTTTTCAGCCCTGTAATTACATTCATTTTTACCCATGATTAAGTTATTTTCTGTTCTTGAAAAACCTTGTTATCTATGATTTTAGTTGTTGCTGGGTAGATTCCCAGTGAGAAAGCAGCGTGGATGAAGCTATCTACCTCTTCCCCCACCCCTCGGAGTTTGTTATACAATTCTGCTGCCCAAATGTCATGTTTGATTTTCTATTTGGGCTAAGGAAACAGAATCTTCTCTTCCAACCTGGAGAAGGCTCTGATGCTGGGAAAGATGGAAAAAAACAGGAGGAAGACCAGCAGCAAGATGGAGAGATTAGATTACAGTGGTGATGGGTGCACCATTGAAAGACCTGAAGGGACGAATTGGGGATAGATTGTCATGGAGAAAATGTGGGCTTTAAGAGTCAACAATGACTTGAGGGCACATAATTAAAAAAAATGCAGTGTGAGCATGCCAAAGCAGAACTGGCAGTGATTTTGCAGTAAAGTAACTATTTTTGTGGCAACTTTTCCCTATGTACTTGCATGCACAGAGTTTGTCATATAAATATTGCCACCAGTCTCTGCAGGTTGCAAAATAAAGTAAAATATCAATAGTCTCTACTGTGTTGCACTTTATGAGGTACTGGAATGACTATACACATATGGATGAAACATCAGTATGCACGACTTTCTGTACCCAAAATATTATCATCTTCATGCAAATGGAAAACCAGACAATCATAATGACATCTCTGCGCCTGGCCCTGCCCTTTACCCTTTGATCAGCAAAGATGCGATCTTGCCACAGGCCCAGTAATAAATCAATACTGAAGCTACTTGAAAGCAGAAGGGCAAGAATATGGCCAAATTCAACACTGCAGTAAAACCTCTATTTATGCAGTAGTTTATGGTACTTAACACATGGCTTTATGTAGTCACTTAGAGGTTTTAAACTCTCCGAAGCGTCTCTTATGAATAATAGATTCTCCTCCTTTGTCAGAATCACTGAAGTTCAGAAGACTGCTGCCTTCTTCTTCCTAAATGCTGTCCTGAATCTTTTTCTTTACTTAAAAATGAGCACAGTGCCTTTCAAACTGTTTTTTTTCCCCAAGGTAGTTTACAACACTCTACAGTGGAATTTGTTAAAACTAGAAATGACTAAAAATAGGCAACATATAAGCAAAAATAGAATAAAGGGTAGTTGAATTGGTTTAAAAATTATTATGCAGCCTAACAGTTGGGCTGTTAAAAACTTAAGGATACATGAAAGGTCTGGAAGAAGAGCACCGTTCCTGTGGCTGGAAAGAATACCTAAAAGTAGGGACCTAACTGGGGAGGGCACCCCGGACCCAGAGAGCCACCACTTCTCTGTTTGCTTCTGCACTTGCCATAAGAGGGCACCTAAAGAACAACCTGTGTCAAGCCCTTCACAACAGCTCATAACATTACTGCTATGCTTTTGTTTTTTACCTGACTTACGAGAGTTAGGATATACACCACTCAGAACTGTTGGCAACGGGATCAGCCTCTAAGCTCAGATAAATAAATAAGGCAAGAAGGTCCCACAGATTCAGCGTTTGCTGGTTCGTTGCAGTAAGGGAGGGTTACGGAATCTTGGGAACTAGTTGTGTGTTCTTTGGCCTTTATTTATCAGCAAGTACAATAAGGGTGTGTGTGTCTTCATATTGCCTTTGATTTTCTTTCTAGCCATGGTGTAATGGGGGAGATGCTAATTGCTTATTTGAGATCCAGTTAAGTATCTTGAACTTAAGCGTATTTTAATGGATCAGTATGGACCAGATGCTTTGGCTGCCTCAGAGGCACCTAAGTTGCTTTCTTACTTGATGGAATTTATGACAACCTGTAATATATCTTTATCAAAAGCTCAATATTTTTAAAGAGGACATTTCTGGAATATTTCAAACATGGACTAAAGATCTGGAATCTCCGGTAAAATCCCACCAATGGATTCATGCCCTTAAAAATGTTAAAATGGCACCTACATATCTGAGATTAAGGTTGGTTCATCAAAAAAATGTATTTAGGATGTATTGGACTCCCCAAATAATGCATGTTAAAGGCTGGACATCAGATTGTCTTTGCTGGAGGTGTAAAACATTTAAGGGCTCACTGGCCCACATGATATAGTCATGTGATCATTTAGTATCTTTTGGGGAGAGTATATTAATGTGTACAAGTAGATTTATAGGAAAATCTTTAAATGTCATTGTTAATGTAATGTTGAATTACATAGCAAAGCTTTGGAATTTGACTGTTTATCAGGAATGGTTGTATTGAGCACGGGTGTGGTTAAAAGAATTATATTGAGAAATCTGGTCCTTGGGCCAGTCACTCTGTCTCAGCCCTAGGAAGGAGGCAATGGCAAATCACTTCTGAAAAACCTTGCCAAGAAAACTG